ACGGATAAATTATTATCTTGGGAACTACGAAGAATAGGAAGCTGAAATTTTAGGGTAATGACCCCCTGCCTACACTCAACCTTGCCCATTCAAATTCACCCTTAACACGTACGACCCTGTAGAAGTTTTTTACGGGTAGATTAATATCTCGGGAATCACGGAGTCTAGGAGGCTGAAATTTTAGGATAATGACCGTCTGCCCATGCTCAACCTTGTCCATTCAAATTCAGCGTTCCCGCACTCTCGGGTACCACCCACGGGCTAGTGAAAGTTTTTATGGGTAAATTATTATCTCGGGAACCACGGGGTCAAGGAAGCTGAAATTTTAGAGTAATGACCCCTTGCCCATTCAAATTCAGCGTTTCCGCGCTCCCGGGTATCACCTACGGGCTAGTGAAAGTTTTGCGGGTAAATTGTTTTCTCGGGAACTACGGAGTCTGGGAAGCTGAAATTTTGGGCTGCCCACGCTCAGCCTTGCCTATTCATGTTCAGCGTTCCCGCGTTCTCGAGTATCACCTACGGCCTCATAACTATTAATTCGGGAATCACGGAAGGATATTCACTCCTGAAGGTTTCGAATTCAGTTCTCATGCGCTGATGCGTGAAATTTTTAACTGTTTTCCAATGTTTGAACTACTTTTGCATAGACTAAAGTACAAAACAGTGAAAATCATTAATAAGTAATCGTTCGACGGGCTGAATTGCACAAAACGCATGATCGCACCGGCTAGTCTGGTGCGCGTTGCTATTTATTTTTTATGATAGCGCCCAGTACACATCAGCAGAACCCAAGCGCGGGTAATTTTACCTGCACCCCTACATTATCAAAAACGGACTTCAGTAATTAGGAAATCTGAGAAGTACCCTAAGGATTTTAACAGTACGCATGCACACCGGGGTTGTTGCGAGCGGCATGAAGAGAGTCGGGTCAGTGTCTGGGTCGCTCCACATTCATTCTTCTATTGATAGGTCGGGATACCCCACGACTTCTCAAATTGTGACTGGGGAAGTTTGGGGTTGTGGGACATGGAGGGGAAGGGGAAGGCAGAGTTACTCGCTGGAAAAACCTTGATTGGAGGTGGAAGTTTGGAACAGGCAGGATTTATGTGAAATGAGAGGGGGCGGAGGGAAGTGCCCCTGTGAGTTTTTTCAATGCTCGGAATGGGAATTAGTATTGTGAGGGGAGGTTTGCCGCTCAATTTGCACTCATTTTTGGGTTCGGGATCGACCAGTGAAAATCGTACTAACAGATGAGGTGCTAGGTGTCGCGTTCCAGGTTGCAAGCTTTCTCTCAGCACTAAGTTTCGTGCGGAGCACAAAAAACCCGTCGGGGCTCCCCTTTCCTCCCTCCCCAGAATCCTCGCTGTTTTGACTTCCTACTTCCAACTAAGGTTTCCTTATTCCCCATTACGACCTCCCGATACTGACACCATTCCCTCGGGCCCTCGATTCCTGCCCCCTCCCCCCCGCCCCTTCTCCCCGTCCTCGCCCTAGCCCCTCTCTACAACGATACCTCAATCTTCGCAATTCGGCTTCCAGCCATCTCAACTCCAACCATCCGGCCATCTCAAGCCGAGCCCTGCTTTGTTTTGGTATTTGCCTACCTCACTTTCCCTCATCTCTCTGCCTGGGCTGCTCCTGTCTTAGAATCTGATGTGGTCCTACTGTTGCACATCAGCATGTTTCTAGATTGCTGAACGGGGATGTCGCGTGGTACAGCTAACTGCAAGTTCGAGTTCGAATTTTCAGAATTTTCAGTTCACGAGCCTGGTTTTGGGTTTGCAGCCAAAAGTCAGGGTACAGTGGACACAAGCCAAGAATACAGTTGGCGCCTGAGGGCAGCGTCAATTCGCGCGTCGGACATTGAGGGCTGATTTCTGGCTGTTTATATAACTGCAGCTGAACGGTTAGTTAATTTGGTCGAGAATTCAAGTTTTTTTTGCTTTCTGTTGCTTTTCAAGTTACAAAAATTAGCTCGAATTTGTACTTGAGGTCACACGTTAAGATACAGAGGAAGAGTGGTTGATTGGGTTTTAAGCCTGTGATGTCCGACAGCCGACGAAATGATTGAGCTTTCCCCAAAAACTTGAGATTTTCTTGACTTTACCGTGGTATTCGTGCTGTAAAATTAGCTCGCTTTGTGAAATGAGGCCACCGATCATAGATCAGGGCTCAGTGAGTGAGACTGAGTTCTTGCCACTGTACAGAAAGGATGCGGGCCATGTTTCTAGAAGTTGCATTTTTATCCTGTTTTTTATGCGTTTTGTGCTGTGTAACAGCAGTACAAAACGCATATTGTTACGGGGTTGTC